TGTACGACATCGTAACACCTGGGGTCCTCCCAGACCACCCAACACACAGTGATATCGTTCGACGACGCACCACACCAAATGCACCTGCTATCACTGTCTCCTTCAACATGCACCGAATCTTGTCTATCCCTGCGCACCAACCTCTCCCGGACGGAGTGAACCCCGTCGCTGTCGTCAACCTGCGCACCGTCATGGACCAAGTCATCGGTTGCCTGGGAGGAGTCGCCTCCGGATAATGGGTTTCGTGCAATTTTCGTAACCCCAGATTGGTTGAGATTACGAAACTCTTCGAAGTAAGTTGCGGTTGTTTTATTCTGCTGAAATGCAGAACTTGGGTTTAGCGTTGTTTTATCGTCAATCGGGCTTATATTATTTTAACGTCTGGTTGTTTTTTAATGCAGTTAAACAACACGCAAATTACATGAAAAGCACAATACTAGAAATGATACTAATACACTCTACTATAATAATACTAGTATGTGCCACGAATTAATGGTGTACAGTATGGGCCAAAGAACGACTATAAAGCTAAGCCAATCACTGAGCTCCAAATTGAAAATGCACCAATTCGAGTATAAACCTCTGAATATATGTATACTGGTACTATTAGTAGCAGCCATACAACACCGCAGATTAAACTGTCCTACTGTAGCACATCATATTCTACAGGTATCGGGTATATGACGAGGAGCTGAATGAAAACAAATGTCTAGGACTTTTCAGGGTTGGGTCACTCAGCCAACCTCTGAAAAGTAGTTTTATGGCAACCCTTGGCATTCTATGTGCTTTATATGCTTCGAAGAATATATATATATATATATACACTGGCAAGTATATATGTATGTTTTTAAAACGTCTTGAGAATCATCTGGTGGTCAGGGTCGTAGCGGAGTCCGTTCTGCTCGAACGCAGTGGATTCGTACAAAGGACTTAGGTCCAGTATACCCAGCGATTTGGCTTTCGACAGGACATCCGTACAGGCGACTGTGAGCTCGGACAGGGGCGCTGATATCTTCTTTTTTTCTTGTCGAAGCTACAAGAATAAATATATATTTAAAACATAATATTTCTTCAATCGTTCTATCCACTGTATATCAAATCATTTATAAAATTGGTGACATTTTGTCGTTCTAGTATGAGGATATTTGACATGAAAAAAGATGGAGTTTCCAAAACATTTTTTAAAAAATATTAGTAAAAAAGAAAATGTATTTGGTGTTATTGTAATATTTTTTTAATATATAAAACATATGATTAAAATGCCGAAAACCAGCTAGAAAACGATATGGATACCTACCTGGTGGTACGTATACGCAGCTTGAAACAATTCCTGGACGATATGCATGAGCACAATCGTATTGTCTTGGCGGAAACTCAAATATTGCGCAAATAATTTCTTCCACTGGCGTTTGAACGTGAACTTTTGCGCGTCGCACAGCGCTGTGGTCATAACTTGGATGGCCATATCCAGGTCATCGTTGCACACAGCGTCGCGGAGGTGCATTCTCGCATATGCTTCGGCCATACGAAATAGCGATTCGATGTGGCGGACCTGCCCACGGATAATTCACGTTAGGGGTTTCGGGGTTTAGGGGTTTAGGGGTTTTAACGTACCGCGATGGGCACGGCGCCAGTGTGCTGCGATGCCTTGCGAAGTTGGGCGTAGAAAGTTTCGATCTTTCGCGTGTCCAGTGTAGAGCTGACCGTCGGATTTACATACGTTCGGGCATATACAATGTATTTTTTTAGCAACTCTGGGGGCAAATGCGTTTGAGTAGACGCTGTCGACACCTATATATATATATATATACACGAAAGAAATATATTAATTCATGTCGTTTAAAGTTGAATACCCCATGTTTATATATATATATATATTCAAAAATGGGTGTGATTTGGGTGTGTGTACCGTGGGGGTGTCCAAACTGCTGTTGATGTGCGACGAAATCACAAAATCAGCCAATTGCTCGTCTTGCACCGGGTCCACTTTGTCCTAAAGTATTCAAAACTATATTATATTCAAAAATATACATCAAATTATTTTAAAAGTCAACAAAAGTAGCAAAAGCCCATTCTTTCGTGATTAGGGCAACATAAACGTTTCAAACAAGTATCAAGATAGTCCATGCTTTCCAGAAAACGGCAAAATATATATATAAATATATTTATGTTGCCGTTTTCTCGAAATCTTGGAAATAAAAGTATCCAAAGTCAATTCTTTGGTGAAAAAAGCAATATATTTCGTACTTGGAGCACACAAAGCACATCAAATCGCTGCAGAATTGGGTCGGTCAGCTCGACGTTTTCGGCAAACGTTCGCGTGGCATTATATCTCCCTCCGATGGGATTGGCCGCTGCAATCACGGCACATCTCGCCTACGATATCATTTTAATAAATATATATTATATATATATATATATATATATAACCTGGAGGGAGGTCACGATGCCAGCTTTGGACACGGAGATCGTCTGCTGTTCCATGGCTTCGTGGATAGAAGTGCGGTCCTGCTCGTTCATCTTGTCAAACTCGTCGATTAAGCACACACCCTTGTCCGCCAATACCAACGCCCCGCCTAAAATCTAGGTTAATAATATATCCAAAATATATATTCAACAAAATACATCCAAATACGAATAAAAATATCAATACCTTGCAGCACCTAAAACAGGGTAAAAAAATACATCCGAAGTATTAAAAAAAACATCTACAAAAGAGTAAAAACACTCAATACCTTCCAACATAAAGTGGTATTGGAATTTCACCCAAATTTGGACTTGAGAGTCATTTCACCAAATAGCATTCGAATCCATTTGATCCTATTTAATCTTGTACACACTATACTATATAACAATTTATATATATATATGTGTGGTTTTGCCCAATGCGGATGGGTCAAACGTTTGGATTGGCAGAAATTTGACGTGATTTGATTGGCGGTTCTTTAATCGATATTCGATTCTTCTGCTGAGAATACTCCACTTTCGAATCGATTTGACAATATAATTATATCCAATACTTTGCAGAAATCCCCACAAAAGGTAAAACGAAAGTTATAAAAAACTTTCCATAACGAATAAAAATATATTAATCCCTCGTACTCGCCAAAAAGGTTAAATATTATGGATAATCTAAACATATCCATATTACCTTGCAGCACCCATTCCTTGGTCATAGGGTCCCTTGTCACTCCGGCCGTGAGCCCCACCGCCGACGCGCCTTTCCCGGTCGTGTAGACGGCACGGGGCGCCGTCGCTTGGACGAATTTTAGAAATTGCGACTTGGCCGTACCAGGGTCGCCCACCATGAGCACATTTAAATCGCCTCGCACCTAAATCGTAATATTTTAAAATTAAAATACAACACGGGGGTTCGGGGTTCCGGGGATAAGGGGTTTGGATTTATACCCGGGAGTTTTTAATGTGTTTGGGTTTCCCTCCAAATAACGACAGGCAGAGCGCGGTTTTGACGGACGTGTGTCCGTAAATCGAGGGAGCGATCGACTGGATGAGCAATTGGCCAATGTTGGGCTGCTTGCTCCACTTCAAGATGGCTTTTTTGTCTTCGGCCGTGAGTACCGTCGTGTGTCTATATATATATATTAAATATTAAATATATATATATTGAAAGTACCCTTCGGCAGTGCGTTCAATGTGGTTGGCTTCAATCACAGTTTTAAACACGGGAAACCCGTCCTTCATATTGAGCGTTGGGTCGGGCGTGTTGATGTACACGCCCGTGATGGCCACTTCTTCTCCTGGTCGCGCCTATTTATCGTAAAAAAGCATTAAAATTCATCGTTTTTTCAACGATTTTCGTAAAAGAACGTCAAATATCAATCAATCTATGAGCCTGAAACCCCGAATACTAGGACAAGAATATACAAAAAGGACTCAAAATAGACAGACGAATCATCGATCGGGGCGATTATGTTTACAGATTTGTCCATTCTGGACCCAATTATCAATACATTTCAGTAGGCAACGTATACCTACGAGGAGGACGATATATATATATATATATATATATGCAAATAGACGGCTTATACTTTATCAATGAGATCGGCGAGCAAAATGACTTCTTTAGACCGGGGGACGCGGCCGGGGGGGACGCTGGACGGACTTTCCTGCAGCGTGAGCTTCTGGTAGTTGCGGTAGATGGTTTGGCTCGTATTTAAGCTGAACGGGCCCTTGGATTGGCACTCGGGGCACGCATTTAGCGACAATTCGGCGTTTTTATGCTGCGTAAACGGCCTAAAACCACGTTGTTTTACGCTATAATTGCGTAATTCGTACCCTAAAATGGCGCCACACGCCACGCAGTTGAACTTGACCAGCTGGAGCTGCGGAAAAACCGATGTCCGACGAGTGACCACGCCCGACACTTTGATCAAAAAGTTCAAGTGCGCCGTCCGCAGATCCCGAATCTTTTCCGTGCCAGGGAGGTCCAATATACGCACAAATACTTCCTTGTGGATCGTGTCATAGTACGGAAACAAGCTCAGCACGACCTATGCGATTCAAAAACCGAAAAAATCGATAAAAAACAACCAAAAAAAGGGAGTTTTGGATGAATATATAACGTCAAAAACGTCAAAACATATCAAAAATGAAAAAACGACCAAAAATTGACGGATTTTTGGATGCATACACGTAAAAAAAAAAGATTAAAAGGTACAAAAAACATGAAAAAATGAATAATACGAGTGATTTTCGGATGAATCAACGTAAAAAACGTCAAAAAACGATGAAAAACGAGGGAATTCCGGATGCACATGACGTACATCGCGAGCGACTTCGTCCAAGAGACTGAGCATGTCCTTGGGCGCTTCCACGATCCACGCCGCGAAGATGGACATGCATTGGATGATGTCGCCGATCTCAATCTCCAAGCTCTAGGACGACAAATCCCATGACGAACCAAGCATGAAGATGATCGAAGACGGACCTGCTCGTTGCGCTGGGCCATCTTGACGATCTTCTCATGGTACACGACCTTGTTGTCGTGGGTGTACGTGTTGAGGAACTGTTTCTGCATGTGGTCAACGAGTAGTCAGCATCGCAACGAAGATGGGAAAGGACGTACGAATCGCCGCTTGATTTCGTTCCGGGGACGTTCCGCAGCGATGAACTCACGCAACGGCACGTCAAAGTGCTCCAGATTGATCAGTTCTTCGTCCTAACGTACATGCATCAGATGGACGGTTTCGGCGACCAAGTTGGGAACGTGTTGTACCTGGACCAAGTCGTCGCCCTCGCCTTCGTCCTGACGCCGCACGAATCGCCGACGATGTGCATCGTCTCGCTCCATCTCCTGGTCCTCCTGGAGCACGGCGGCCAACCGCCCTTCGCGGGCATCGCGGCGGTCCAATTCTTCTTCGACGCGACGCCTCGTGTCGTCATCGATGGCATCGTATCGACGGTCATCCAGCTGTCCCATGTCGTACTGATCCAACGTATCCATGCGCTTGTAGTCGTCTTGCGCATTCTCAATCAGATCTTCACCCTCGTCGTCCTCTTCGTCGTCGGCAGAGAAGTACACGCGCTCATCAGCCGTAACACCCACATCTCCTTCGATCCCCGACGCGATAGATGCATTGTCCTCGTCGTCGGATGCGTCGTCACCTCGGCGTAGGCGGCGCCGCTTTGTGTCTCTCTCCACGTCGCTGTCATCTCCGCTCAGGCTCATGTTCGTTTCCCGCTCTTTTCACTGGAAAGGGTGGCGGATATTGCCTTATCCGGATAATAAATGATGCTCGTCTAATAGCTATTACGCGGGGTTTCGGGGTTTCTAAGTCGTAGTACAGTAATTTGCCCATTTCTCTCACTTTAAATCCTAAAAAAAATTCTAATATTTTTTCACTGGCACTGCTATCCGGAATCATAACCACCTGGTATTCTATGAATGTATGCAAAGGAATGCTAGTCAATCTAAAAATAATTTGTGCGAAAAATGTGTTGACTTACAAAGTATCGAGTTCGAGTCCAACACCAAATTGAGCTATTCGATTCAATTAAACTTCTGTTCTACTATTATTATGGGATCCTTTTCATTTAATCAATGGTGAAATCCTTTGTACTATTAATACTACTATTACAACGTACAGTATACCTTAGGCAAAGTAGAGTTAAGTGGAGGCACTTTGAAGGATTCTTGCCACCTGCACTTAACACAGCAGTTTTCGTAGCTCCAATGAGACCTTGTCTCATCCAAATTCAGTACACTAGTACGTAGTATTTCGTAAGGAATTGTATTTGAGAGTCATTTCGCCAAATAGCTTTCGAATCTATTTGATCCTATTGAATCTTGTACACACTATACTATACAACGATTATTATAAGTGGTTTTGCCCAATGCGGATGGGTCAAAAGATTGGCTAATTCGCCATGACGTGATTTGATTGGCTCAGGCGGTTCGTTAAGCGATTCTCCTAAGACATTCCATTCTTCTGAGGGTGCCAGTTTTGAATCGATTTGACAATATGAGTGTTTATACTGTACTTCGACGTTGCGTCCGTTATGACGGTTATTTTCCTCGAAGTAATAGATGGTGGTTGGTGGAGGAAACGTATGTGCAGACCGTCCTTTGTAGAGAGGTTGGTATCCCGCCAAGTAATGAGTAGTACTCGTTAATAGGTACTGATACATAGGGTTCCTTGTGGTGGTGGGTGTTGTACAAAGTGTAGGTGGTGCTCGGTATTAAGATGAACGCGGGCAACACAGCGGTATGGTTGGAAGGGGTTGGTATTAAGGTGCTCAGTTAAAGGGCAATTCCAAAGTGAACACGAGCCTCTGCTTCGTCGCGCCAACTTAATGACTATCGCTAGCTATGACGTCACGTGACACTAACGAGTGTCAAACGGAGAGCTGCCAATCCCTGAATAATATAGGCATGTGTCATGCAGATCACTCAAGATACATCTACAGACGATGCTGGCCGCTCATTCCAATGTCGTGACCTAATGCAAGCGACACTACTGATGTCTTACTTTGTAAATCAGTATGGAACTTTGTATGGGATTCATTAATTTACGGATAAGATTGAATTAACACTGATATTCAACACTCCCACTTGATCTGTCATGACGCGGCTAACTCCACTGAAACAGAACATGTTCCTCTTCATTGTTCCAGGCCACACTAAGGTCTCGAACTCCCATGAGGAATCGAAGTATTTCAAACTGTGTGGGCGCCAGCGCCAGCGCCTTGGTCAGGATATCTGTAACCATTTCTTTGGTTGGGCAGAACCCTCAACTTGATTTTTCCCTTTTCTGATATGTCACGTGAAAAAAGGTGACGAATTTCAATGTGTTTCGTAGCTTTGTGGTTTGATGGATTTTTCATAATATCGATAGTTGCTGGCTATCTGTCCAGATAGTGATTGGTCTTTTCACGTGAAATCCCATTTCTTTTAGCAGCATGAAGTTCCATTCATACTCTTTCACTCCTTCACTTAAGGCTATCAACTCTGCTTGAACAGTTGATAACGACGCACACTTGTTTGCATCTTGACCATGATATACAAATTCCAGCCATTCGGATCAAATATCCAGTAATACTTTTCAGATCCTTTATTTGGCTCGCAAAGGATGCATCAGTGCACACGTCATAAAATATATCTTTGCACATCCCGTCAAGATATAGTCCATGTTTAGATGTTCCCTTTAAGTATTTCAGCACTCTCAGTGCAGCATAATAATGAGTCTCATTGTAACACGAAAGAAACTTAGTTAGTTCTCGAACGGTGTTACCGACATCTGGACGAGTACCTCGAACCAGGTACTGCAGTGATCCGACTATGCCTCTATAGTCAAATGGCTGCTTGTCAATTTGCTCGTTCGACAACTTTGTTTCAGGTTCTAACTCGACTCCCACTAACTGAGGAGTTGATACTTCTTTTGCATTTTCTTGGCCAAATTTCACCAATAAGTCGTTGATGTACTTATGTTGGCTTATCGTCATGGTCTTGGCACTTCTGTTTCTTTGAACCTCCATTTTGAGGACATAATGGATGTTGCCCAAGTCTTTCATTTTGAACCGATTGCTCGATTCAATTTTGAGCTTGTTGATTTCTACTGATTTTGGTCCACTCTTTTCACATAGATGAAATACTCTTTGTCACATCGTGAAAAGCCAATTATAGTAAGGAACTCATGGAGGACAGCTTACCAAATCTTTGGTGCTTGTTTTAAGCCATATATGCTCTTCAGTAATTTGCACACCAAATGCTCACCTTTCAGTCCTCTCTTTTGAAATCCAGGAGGTTGGTGCATAAAAAACTCAGTGTCCAGTTTTCCATGTAGGAACGCTGTATGCACATCCATTTGATGAACTTCGCAATCTAAGACCGTTGCAACCGTAAGTACTAGCCTTAACGACTCAAACCGAGCCACAGGAGCATATACCTCATCGTAATCTAGTCCATACTGTTGAAACTGGCCGTTGGCAACAAGTCTCGCTTTATATTTTTCAATTTCACCGATGGATGTGTATTTTACACTAAACACCCAATGACATGGTAATGCAGTTTTTCCTTGGGGCAAAATAACTAAATCCCAGCTAGCATTATCCATCAATGAACCATATTCTGAGTTCACAGTTTCCATCCAGTTTTCTCGTTGAGGTGTGAGTAGAGCTGCCTTGAGTGACCGAGGCACTACAATGGCCATGTTGACTCCGAGTAGATCATGACCTTGACCCTTAATCTTGTGCATGTGGGGACTTGGTAGCACTTATAGTCCTTCAAATGAACTGGAATCCTCTGTGTTCTCTTCGGTTGAGGTGTCAACAGTTCAACCTCTTGGCAATCCGGATTGTCAGAATTACAATATGCTTCGATATCTCCCACTGACATTGTACTCATTGTAGAAGGCGTTTGTTTCACCTGAATTCAATTCGAGAGTTGAAATTTGCTTACTTTCTTTACTAGTAAGGTCGGACTCATTCGAATCGAATGCATTCCTCACGACCTTCTTACCATATTCACGATCAATGAAGAACCGATTCGTGTGTACATTTAGAAGCTGATATCATTTGTAGTCATCAGCGATTCCTAAGAATCTGCATTTGAGTCGACGTGCTGAGAGCTTTTTGTCGTATCGGATGTCATGTGCGACATGAGCGTAGCATACACATCCCCAAACTTGCATTCAGCTTAGGTCCGGAGTTTTCCCATACACTATTTCGTATGGGCTTTTGTATGCTAACCTCGTACTAGGTGTCCTATTTTGGATGTAGTTGCCATACATTAGGACTTCTGGCCACCACATTACTGACATTCGATTTGACGCACACATTCCTTGATCTTATTTACAGCATCACTTTTCTTGCAAATAGGAAAACACCACTTCCATGATGACTTGTCACAAATCAGATTTACGTAGTACTTTATCCCAGCTTGAGGACCATATTGCCCCTTCACTTTCGTGGGACCATTCGTGTCAGAATGCAGAGTGCCGTGGACATCGCTGTCCCTCAACCCTTGTAAGTTCCTATAGGACATTCTATTCTTTTCATTTGCACACACCTTACAGTAGAATGTCACTTCGTTGAGTACTATGGCCTCAATCTTTGGCACACCTCTCACTTGCCCACTGCTGAGAAGTCGAACAAGCATAGCTCGACCAACGTGACCGAGCCTCACATGCCATTCCTTCAGTATATATTACACTTTGCTAAGTGTTAGAGTATCTGCTCTATATGTTTGTGCCTTGACGCTTTGACACACACTACATCAGGCACATGAGTACCAAGGAACACCACTTGGCATTCCTTGGTACTCATGTGCCTGATGTAGTAGGACCCTGCAATTGCTACAGCTACAAACGGCAGTTTATGCCCTTTCAGGATGAACTTAAACTTAGGGGTGTGACCATTCGCCACAGCGTATCCACACTTTTGCAGGAGGTGCTCGCTAACTATGTTGGTAGCTGACCCCGGGACATAAGCGACGTTGTCAAACTCAAACTCTTTGAGTCCAAGCGGTCCCAACAAGTACAAACGAATCAATCCAGCATGTGAATTATCCAAAGAGCCACTATTTGGAAAGCTAAATCTATACGAGGTATCAATTTTAGCTCGTACAAACACTTCAGCTCTACCAGTGAGACTCACTCCGCATCTAGAATCTAAGACCCAATGATTCTTAGTACTACACTACTCTCATGTAATAGATGAGACGAGGTTAGTCTTACCGCATACTCCAACTGCATGGTGAGGTCATCCAGGCTAGCAGCCGCCTCCTCCATGTCCGTGGCAGTGCGTTCGCCGCCGCTTGGAGTGGCCACTTCACTTCGAGTAGAGCGCACCGCCGCCACCTTAGCCGGGCCACTCTTCGCCGCCTTGAAGATGGACGTGCGGTAGTACCCCTTCGCAAATCTTCCTTGCGCTTTGGACAGTCCTTCTTCATGTGCACCTTGGCACCTTCGTTGTACTTGCCGTTACAGTAGAAACATTCATTCTGGCCGCCATCCGGTTTTGGCTTGCGCTCATTGGCCAGAATTTGGCCAACCGGAAGGAAATTCGGACTTGCTTAGGGATTTTCCAAATCCGGTTGACATCGATAAAATGTCCCGCTTACTTTTGGACCCAAAGGTGTTCACCACCAACTGAAACACTTTGTCCATAGTAAATGAATCCTTGGTGAACTTAACCGAGGACCCAAAGTACTGCTGGGGGAGGAGCGATAGCAACAGAGCACCCACTAACTGCTCCGACACAATTGGCTCGCCGAAACACTTGACGCTCTGAGCGTTGATGCGGTTCCGTAGGGCACTCATTACCTTAAAGTGGTCACCCACTTGGCGGTAGTCGGACGTAAGGGTGCCGACGAACTTAGTGAGGAGGCCAATGACACCCGCCGCGCTCGACTCCCCAAAATCGCGTTCGAGCATGCGCCAGATCTCAGTGACGGTAACGGCTGGGTCAATTAGGAACACGTTGAGCTGGTTTAGGTAGCTCTTCGGTAGGGGTTTTGGCAAAAGTGAGCGAATCTCCACGTTTTGTAAATGAGCGCCTACAAGAGGCGTCCTCGGTTCTATGTGTAGTAACCGAAGTAAGCCTCCGCTATAGCGATTGGGGTTGCGCCGTGATGGGGATTATTTAGTCGTGTTCGCTGGAGTTCCATAACTACCGAGTGGTGTTTGGCCGACGGGACTCTTGGGTAGGAACACATAAAACGTCCGCAGTTGCGCTTAATATTCTCCCGTGAGGAAGGTAATTCTCGGTGATTGGGTGGTGTGCGCTATGTTTTCTGGTGGCTGATGTTGCACAAAGTCATGGGTTGTTATGGACTTGTGCATAGTGCCCTGTGTTGAGATTGGTGTTCTCCGAAGAGGTAGATGGTTCTCGGTGTTGGGGGATTGGTGTTCTCTGAGAGAGCATTAGTGTTTATTGACGAGATGGGTAACTTGGGATGTGGTGTGCGCTTGACGTTTTGTCTTTTATGTTATCTTCAAATCATCACCGAGTCGCAATCAGGCCGAGTGGTTATGGTGAGCTCCTTGACAACAGATAGCGCTCGCGTGAGTTCATATCCCTGAATATTTACTCCTATTTTTTTCATATTTCTATAAATAGAATGAAAGCACTACGTAGTAAAGAGTTTCCGTTTCATTCAAGCATGGATGCGACGCAAGAACTTGAGGAAATACGGCAACGCCGTGGAAAGCCCGAGGGTACGTCCTTGTCACGCACAGGTAAGGTTAAGGATCATATCGGAACTACCCATGATATTATATATACGTGTAATCGAAGGTACGCGAAGTGTCCGAAGAAGAAATCGGGCTATGACCTTTACATGCATAAGAAAGGTCATGAGTTCCAAGGAAGACACGGCGGAGACTAGAGTGATCAATCAGTTATTGTTATGTGTAGCTATGCGTGAAATCGATCCCACGGCAGACTTTATTCAGCAGAACTAACGTTATCGTTTTCATTCAAAGGAACGTCGGCATCTCCGTCGTGTCGTTTGGTAGCATGTCCGTACCCCATCGAAATCTATTTTGATTGTATAAAATGGTGTGAACTGTTGCTTATATTGATTTTACCGTTGTCACTAGCATCACTGCAACTTTCGAGGTGTCGTGGTTGCGCCGCCGCTTGAATTCCCTCAACCATGTGGGAAACGTACTCGTCGTCCATTTCTTGTGCATAGCTTTTAATGGCCTCCTGAACAGCAACTTCTTCCGCCGTCAGTTCATTGGTGCATGCCTGTTGATTGTGCATGCTGGCAGATCCTTCAGCGTCTTCCTCATGTCGTTCAATATTAAACTTCTGTTATATTAGACCATGGAACGGGTGAGCCTGGAGGTGGTGCGATTTGGTCAAACAACTCCGGATAAAAAGAGTCTAAACTGCTTCCGTGATATCTAGGGGTGTCACACCAAGTTGCGAGATTGCGGTGGAAATGACGGTGAGTCTGGAGATGCACCCAGTCGCTGCGTGGCTTGTACGTTGAACTGGGTTAACCCGCTTTGCTTGCCGTGTAGCTGAAGGACAGGGCGGCATGGCACCCCTAGATATCACGGAATGTGTTTCGACTCATTTTATCCGGAGTTGTTTGACCATATCGCAGTAAAATACAAATACATATCGCCAATTCGAGTGGGGACTTGGGCATATATCACCCGCAGTTCAAGTGGGGAGCCATCGCCACGCCTGGTGTCTAAACCATTAGACTAGTCACATTTCTTGAAGTAGATTAGGCATAAGATGTCCCTAATATAAATTCTATTTTAACCTATTTGAAAACAATCTTGGGGAGGAATCAAACGTTTGGATTGGCAACATTCGACAGGACGTGAATTGATTGGCTTAGGTGCTTCTTTTATCCATTCTCTTAAGGAATTCGATTCTGTTGGGGGCGCCAGTTTCGAATCGACTTGACAATACTCTACGTATACTTAGTACTCGTACTTAGTCGTCAAGGTGCTTTTAAAAAATACGAAAAAAGGTTGCGCCGTCGGGGAATTGAACCCCGACCTTCTCCTTGGAAGGGAGAAATCCTAACCATTAGACTAACGGCGCAATCCTCTATTTGCCAGCTGTACATAGTACCACTATCTGACCCCTCATAAAGACTACCCTCCGTTTACCAACCGTTACCATGTTGCTTGATCTGTCCACCGTAACCGCTCTTGGTGTACCTGTCGACCCGTCGATTGGCACCAACCCCCCCGTGATGCCACGCGGTTCCACCCCCGGCTACTTCATCGTCCCATAACGTCCGGCACATCCAACGCCCCAAGCGTTGATGACACTGTCACCGACCCGCCACATTCTGCTCGTGGCCAACTGCCTGTCCCGACTGTTTCACCGCCACCCAACGCGCCCCCTACAGAGAACGTATGGGAGATCATGCGTGAAAATCGTCGCCGCGCAGACCGCGCCAGCTCCAAGGCTGACACAGTATCGGTACCCACCGCCCCACCATGCCCCAGATTACACCCCTCTTGGAACTCTTGAACTTTGGAGCTTCTGGAGGTGCATTATTGATGCATTCGAGCCGCTTCGTCTTGACGTGAAGAAGCCAGTGGTCTGTCGCGTACAGATGGATACCGGTTCCTACACCAACACCATTGACGAGGGCAAAGCCATGAAGGCTGTACTTTTTGACACCAATCAAAAAGGTCTCGAACCCTCATTGGCCGAAATTGTGCAATGTCATCGAGATTTAGCCAATCAAAAGTTGACCTGGGGACTCGCATCCTTTGAAGCAATGGATCGCCTTGTTGGCGTATCCTTCGCGATTCCAGTCTCCCGCGACTGCACCAAAGTCAAATTCACACAATGTCCAGTCCACATGTTATGGATGGATTCTATCTCGACTTCGTTCACGACCGCGTCTCCGAGCGCTTCCTTTGGGAGGTGCTAGCTGCGATCGGCGCGCCTCCAACTGCCGGCATCTACACCCAAGTGTCTGCCGCCTACGGTCCCAAAGGCTCTCGTTATCGTTTATCATTTAACGATAATCATCCTCCTCCCCCTTTTGTATGCTACGAGTGATTGCTCGACGAAATTGTGTTCCTCGGCAAATGCCATAGGATTTACGGTCGAGGGTGGTACAACCACCGCAAGGGTTTCCAACGCGTTGACCTGGATATTGCCGCTAAGGAAAAGGCTATCGCACAGCCATTCACTCTGAGCCCATCACCCCTGCAAGCTCGCCCGGCTGGCGTTAACAAGCGTCAATGTATCCCACCACCAACGCTACCACGATGGACTCGGGTGCCACGGGGTGACGGCGCCGTTAGCCGCTCTGGGGCATCTGCACCGTCGCAACGCCCATGGCAATCGCCGAATATGTTCAACGCACTGCGTGAACACATCGTGGTCACACCAACTCAACTGGTGGTTTCGTCCACTAACAGCATGCTGATCCTTCCCTCCATCCTCCCTGTACCAGATTCTCCACGCACCCTACCTTCCAACACCTACATTGATGGCACCAAACCCGACGGTCAGAGTGTCACGCGTGCGACCGTGTCACTGGACTTAATGCTCGAGAAATTTGCCCTACTCGATTCACACGTTGCTGCTGCGAAGTGGGCGTTTACGACGATGTGTTCCAACCTGCCGACTCCACCTCAGCCTTCAACCTCGTTGACCTTGTTATCACTGGTGCAGCGGACCGTATCCAGTCGCTTTTGTCCAAATACCCGATGGAATTTGGTCTGCAAGTACGTTCGCTTGCGTCGTTGACGCTGGTCATGCTCCTCCACCTTACCCGCCTTCGAATGCTCAGCCGATGGATGCGCACGACGTGGGGGCCATCTACACCTTTTGCTATCCTGTACCACAATGTCTTCAACCACGCATACTCCATCCACGCCCTAGGCCTCGACTTTACGTCAGTGGTACGATCATCGTCACTGGACGAGTACCACTCTGACGATGTTAGTGACGCTACGGTACTGCTGAACCACGAGTCTGAGTGCATTCTCGCCCTTGCCGAGATTCTGCTTGTATCCCTCGCTCCATGCTACTATGCCCATGATGTGGCGCCCAATGCTGCTACCTCTGGTCCTGTATTTGCCCTCCCTGCACGTAGCGGGGATCGTTATCTCGCATCATCAACCCTTTGCAACGTCCTCCTAACTCCACCCTCGGCACGCCAATTCGCAAGGCCTTGTGTGACTTGCTGCAGAGAGCACGCACGGCACTAGCCGATCGGGTATCCCACGACGTCATCATGGAAGCGGCCGATAGTGAAGACAGTGCTGTCGCCTCAACTCTCGCTGATTGGGTTAGCAACATCGACATTATGGTTGCACTTGACCAGGCATTCGCCTTGACGATTACTCCATCCTGCCAGGTTATGTTCGACTCATCCACAATGTCCCTTACTCATGGAAGCCTCGAAGACCTCTGGACGGACACAGTGACATCCACGACCGGCTAAGTTTGTGGCTAGACCAACCCTCGGAGGTACCTCATATGTCTCCATTACCACTTGCAACCTCAACGGCTTCACCTCGTTGACGCTGGTCATGCTGCTCCACCTTACCCGCCTTCGAATGCT